AAAGTGTTTACAGGGCTAGAGATATGGCTCCGAACATCAAAGCCCACTAAATCTTTTTACCTTCCCCTAACACCCACTTTTCTGCTCAAAAGGTTTATAGATAATTGGCTTTATGAAACCAAAGTTCTAGGAGGAGCCTACATTTATTTCTCTGTACTTTTGAAAGGGAAATATCTGGTTTTATTCAAGAACTCTTATCTGAACCATCTATTAAAATACAAGTGTCTGGGAGATAATCCTTATTGAAAGAAAAAACAAACTTTAGCCATTCAAGCATATCAAATGAATTTACTTTAGCTGTTAAATATTGATTGCTAAACAGGTATTAAGTTCATCTACTTTTATTACAAAAAGCTAGAAAATAGATTTGGAGCTGTTAATAAACATCTTAAACTTTGTTAGAAATATATCTCTTAAAAATACGAGTGTCTTTGCCAATAGAGGACCCTATGATTTTAAAAGTTGTGAAATATATTTGCCAATCTAAAAAAACGCTAATTGCTTACTTTTTACTTGTAAGTTGAAAGAATGTGTGTGGTTTTTTTTATAGCAGGCATAAGGTATAAGTTTTGTTTGTTTGTTTGTTTGTTTTGTTTTTTTAAGGAAAATGAAGTAAATTGTTCCAAAGCTGTTTTTCTTTTCTGAATGGGTAAGAGAGGTTGTGAAAGTTGTAAAAAGGTTTGTGAAAGTTATAGAAGGTTTGTGAAAAAAAAAATGTTAAAAGAAAATTATATAAGTAAGCTGAATAATAAATTTACTAAGAAAATCAATTTAAAGAACAAAAGCAAACATTTGCTTTTAGTTCTTCTTTACATTGTTAAATGGATGAGGATTTTCCTCTTGCTTTCCAGATATAAGAAGACTTATTTTATAAAAGCAATTCGGTAATTTATTTTTCTCTCTACCTAATCCCTCCAGAACCAGGCAATTGTTAATGAGTGAGTCATGGCAATACATTTCTTTGCATGTCAATAAGACCAGCTTCCAACTGTGGTTCTATTAACCAAGACTTTGGCTGGAATGTCACACCTGCAGAGACATGCCTGAACTCTGGATGTCACCAGAAATCCTTAAGAAATGAAGATTGACTTTGAAGTCAATATGAGCCTCTTGGAGACATGGCCTGGTACATTGCTTGATCCTATGACCCATAGTAGTCTTTCCAGGTAAGGAATGAAGAGATGACAAGAAAGGAACCTCAAGACATCTTTGGGGACCTAAAAAACCTGATAAATGCCCCCAAATCTATAGGTATTGCAGGAAAACCTGATGACAGCTTGGAAGTTTAGCTACTTTGGCCTGAAAGGTTTATTGAAGCTCAATAATGAGAGTTCAGAGAAGCAGACTTAAGAGACCCTATATGACCAATCGCTATTCTTATGTTCATGCAAATAATCAGGCCAAATTGAAACTGGACTTTATATATATATATATATATACATATATATATATATGAAAGCTTAAGCAACCATTATAATGGAATGACTGGAATGACTGGTTGCTATGATGTGCACTGACAACCAGGGGGCAGACGTTCAATGCAGGAGCTCCCACAGGGGGTGCACCTCTCAGCCAGAAGTTGGACTCATGGCTGGCTAGGGCAGCTGCAGTGGCAGGAGCCTCTTCTGATTCCGTTTAATATTCATGCACTGGGCCTTTAGTATAGTAAATAAATTAGTCTTAATTTGGCTCTTTGATATAAAAAAATAACAGTGATTGTAAGAGGGAAACTATGTTTCTATAGACTATATAATACACAGTTGTGAATATTAAACTTTAATTCAAATCATTGTCTTCAAATTTTATTTTTCACCTGTGAATTGAATGGAACCTGAATATTTATAATTTTCTTAAGTATTTCATATCATCATCCAAACTAATATTTTGTTTTTCTCCCATCCTTATACTTAGAACAAAATCTTTCTCCTTCTATCAAATCATTTGTCATAATTCTTGTCATTCTAACTTTTGCCCCAATAATGCCAAGACAGTTTATCTCCACCAGGTGACAGACCTCACTTATACTCAGGGAATGCCACCTCTAAACACCATCGCCACCACCTTCTATGCCCAGGCCTCATCATCCCTCTGACAGAGAGCAAGGATCTCTTAACTCTGAAGAAAAATGCATCTCTCTTCGGCAGGAAGCAGCTACAGAAGAGACCTTGCACCTCTAAAATTTCCACCCTGAAAGCCCTTAGGAAGAAGGATCCAGAGTGTTCTCCCTCCCTGGAGCATGCCCATTCCTGCACCTTTCCCTTCTCCCACCCCCCTCCCCACAGGTACACAGATCCCCTGTATCTTCCTCACTTCTAAGCTCTAAGGGCCCTTCCTCTACCTGTATCACCTTCTTCTACCTGCATCACCTTCTTCTACAAATTGCTTCTCCTACTTCTGTGATTTTCTAAATAAATGTTCTCTTAGAGTAGGGGTGTCGAACTCAATCAGAGAAGGGGCCAAAATCTAAAATCCAGACTAAATCGCGGGCCGAATGGTTTACTGAACAGTCATAAACTGTCATTGTGATGGAAACGCAGCGGAGTGCAGTGATGACAGCGCGGTGCGGGCCACATTGCAAGGCCTGGTGGGACAGATTTGGCCCGTGGGCCTTGTGTTTGACACATGTGTCTTAGAGCCTTGGCTCTGAATTCTTTACTAATCAGAACTCAAGTACCTAGGTTGTGAACCCAGGTCCCGTCTAACCCCACCAGCCTAACACCTGGTGCCATTCTCATCACTGACAACAATGTGACAATCACAAATTGTGAAAATGTGTGACCTATTAAATAATATCTTAACCAGGGTATATTTTTTTTCTCCATGCCTGTAGTAATAATTGAAATGATGTCTGCAGCCCCGTATTGCTTTGTTTGGGGAACAGAAAAACTTGTCTCCTTCACTGTTTACCTATAAGAATTTACTTTAAGAAAAACCTGGCTTCTTTAAAAGGAGTTTGAATCCCTAACACAGTCCAAGAGATGTCATGGGGCAATTCAGGATCATGGTCAGAAAATACACTGACATTGACATTTTCTAAAAACTGTAATAGAAAGTCAAAGGAAAGTGAAATAGACACCGGGGAGAGGGGACAAGTGACTTTTAAGTTTGATTGGCTTGAGGGAATGATCAAAAAGAAAAGCTAACAATACAAAGGTGATTTCAGGTGGATTCCTCAAAGTGGTTGTCTTAAGCCCCCACTTTTCTAGCTATCCTGCAATCATGTGGTGTGTGGGTATTTTTTGTTTGTTTTCTGGAGGCGAGGATGGGTAGAGCAAGAGAAGGATAAATCAGAGCTGTAGGTGCAGATAAAGCTGTTCTGTGGATGGCTTTAATTTTGCCAACACTGCTCCAGAGTCATTCTCACATTATGCCCACCTTCCCTGCCTCTGTCCACAGACACTGCTTCCCACTTGTGCTCATCTCAGAGCACATGTGGCAACTGTCCCCCCAAGTGCATTGAAAATAAAGCAAGTGCTTGCCCAAAGCAATCAGAGTAGTGCAGAGACAAATCCTCTCAATAAATGCAAAGTCTGGGCAATGATTTCACAAGGAATCTGCTGAAATGAATCATGTCCCCCTCCCCTTCATCCACTCCCCATCCCCCCAAAGCTCTTTATCCCTCCATTTAAATTTTGGGAGGCTGGTGGGTGAATGCAGAGGGATGGCACTTAAAAGAGAGGTCCATCCATCACTGCTGTATTGAAACAGTTTAAGAGATTTCCAGAGAAATTCTTTGAAGGGACACACATCATATAGACATGTGTGTGTGTTTATATGTGTACAAGGACACATAGTCCATTCTACATGTATCCGTCAAAGACAGGCTGTGGATAATCACAGTCCCTTAGCCTTTTTGAGAGCATGACCAGATTGTATCAGACCCCCAGATCAGACAAGTTTCCCTGATGCACTTTGGGGTATATTTGTGGTGACTGATAGATCCTTCCCCCAACTGGTGTGATGCAACCTGCACCTGAGGGGGACATACCAGAGTACCTAATGAGGTAACCAGGCGCCTTATATGGACTGTACATTGAACCACCAATCAGCACCTGACAAATACCCTAAGCCCTTGTCCCTGAGTACCTGAGGGCCTAACCGTGCAGCTTATAGGGACCATACATTAAGCCACCAATCAGCGCCCTCCGGATACCCTTTAAGCCCCATCCCTTCCCTTTCCCCCCTCCAAAGGCGTGGTCACCTCTGCACGTGTTCCTCTTTTCCCCTTGACAGGCAGCCAGGTGGGAGGTAGGTGTTTCTCCTCTAACAAGGCCTGGTTTTTCCGCCCTCTGTCTGATCTTTCCCTGCCTTGCGCGGGCTGAGCACAGCTTCTGAAAAACAGCTGCCTGCCCTGGGTCCCTTGGACAGGGGCAATTTCCCCACCTGTGGTTCTTTATTTTTGACCTGATAGCACCACACCCTTTTCTCACCTCACTCCTTTCCACCTGGGCTGGACCTGCTGCCTGTGCTCTGCCTCCCGCCTGCCCCCTCTCCCCCTCCCCGCCTGCCCCTTACCGCCCTGGGCACCTGTGCCAACCTTCTGAGCACCTAGATCCGCTCTAGCAGGGGAACTAGACGGCTCAGAGCGAAGGCACATCTGAAGGAAAAGCAGCTCTTTGCTTTCTTCTTCTGCTGCTGCTTCCCCTTCCTCTTTTCCCAAACAGATATGTAAACACATGTATTTTTTTTTTTTCTTTTCTGTTTGAATTGAGCGAACTGGCTCTCCCCGTCTGTGCCTTGATTTAGCTCTTGGGCTGAGCCTTGCCCCTCCCTTCCCAGCTCGGATGGGATAAGAGGCCTTGGATCTGGAGCTCGAGCTTCCAAATTGAAGCTGGCCCCAGGCCAGGTGACCTCTCCTTTGTAAGTTTCTCTCCTAAGCAGAGCTGGGGAGCGGCGGGGGAGGGGGCGCGGGGCGCTGGGATCTGTTTGGTGTTGTTGGGGGGGAGGGGGAGTGGTGGTGAGGGAAGGAGGGGGTGGAAGAGAGAGAGTCAAGGGCTGTTGTTAAACAGTTTCTTACCGTAAGAGGGAGTTCAGACCTAGATCTTTCCAGTTAATCACACAACACATTTAGCTCATTGCAATAAAAAGCCGCTCAGAGCCGAGCGGCTCTTTCAGGCGCTGAGTCGGAACGGGATCCGTCCACCCGGGCATCTGTCTCCACCAGTGGGACCCGCCAGCGCCCAGCGCCATGTGGGTGACCAGACTCCTGCCAGTCCTGCTGCTGCAGCAGGTCCTCCTCCACCTCCTGCTGCTTCCCATCGCCATCCCCTATGCAGGTCAGTTTTCTCTTCTTCCTTGTTATCATTTTCCCCTTCTCCGGTTCTTTCCCCAGCGCTCTCTGTCCACCTATCCCCAGCATCCTTTCTTAGCTCAGTATATGGTATAGGTTTTTTTTCTTTTTTTTTAAAACTTCTCAAGGTCCTTTCTTTTGATCTACTTGCAAAGCATTTACAAGGATAATTAACATCCCCTCAGGGTGTCTCCCCACCCCACCCTCACCCGCTAGTGACCCAGCCCCTTCTCACTTAGCTTCGTAGTTGTGGGCTTGGGGGTAGGCATGGAGTGCTAACCCTGGCTGGACCTTGCATGGTTTGGACAAGTTTGAAGTTGAACAGGAGGTCTGGTCTGTAGAGGGGAGAGTGATGGTCAGTGCAGCAGGGATTCTTTTTTTTCCCCAGAGGATACTTTTCCAGGACCATCCAGGACCCCACATCAACTCTGTAAACACTCAGAGCCAAATGATGGCTTTATGCAGGTTTATATTTGGAGAAAGGCCGATTAAACTCTGAGTATAGGTATGTGATGAAAATGAAAGAGAAAGCCTGCCTTCTAAGATCTCATTCCCCCCCCCCCCCCCTGGGGATGGATGCCTGTCTTTTTGAAACTGCAGAGCAAGAAGACAGAAAAAAAAAATTGTGTAACTTTGATTAAAGCTGCAGAGCTTCTTTCTGCATCTCCTTTTCTGCCCTGAGTGTACAGGTTGGGAAGGAGTTGCTTGGGAGTTCCTATTGCCTGGACGTTGGGAAATGTCATTGGCTGCTTTGGGCAGTTTTCTGTAGTTATCAGCGAGAGGAAACATCTGCATTTGGTTGTGTTATCATTGTAGTGGCTGGGATGCCAGCCGGAGAAAGTAGTGAGCATCATGGGTGGGCACAGGGGAATAAAAGGATGGAACAAATGCCCAGATGGTAGACATGGCCTTTATTTATTTATTTATTTATTTATTATTATTATTATTTTTTATAATCCAAAACAGAGAACTGGCTGTATTTTGTAAGATAAGTTAAATAATGAAGTTCTTCAGACCTCTGCTCTAGCTCTAGATGTAATAGAAGAATTGAAAACATCAAGGATGTGCTAGGTGTTAAGAAATGGTTCCATCCACCTGGCTTTCTTCTCTTTTGTGACTTGGTCCTTTTGGGAAACAACCCTGTGTTAGAAAGGTCCGCTTGAAAACAGGTAGGTTAGGCTTCTGAAGAGGTGAGAAAGAAGTTAGTGCCATCACCAGGTTATCATGCTTGAGCTGTGTCATGTTAAAATAGATTCCTTTAAGACATGGCTGGATTAGGGGAACTTCAGCATAAGTTGAAACCAGGGCTGCTATGTTGAGGGCTTTCATTTTGAAGGATTGAAGTGTTGATAAAGTCTGAAATAGACAATGGTTACCTGAAGTCATCCATGCTGATGCGAAGGGAACACAGTGGGGAAAACCCAAACAGTAGATCCCCCATAGACAGTGTCTCCTTGCTTTTGGCATGCATCATGACGTTTTGGCAGGAGATATACATTCGTAATTATATTTCACTTTGGCTAATGTTGAAATGACTGCGTTTCCTGAGTGTAGAGAAAACGCAGCCCAAGAGTGTGCTGGCAGGCAAGGAGAGGCCAGTGGGGAATTACAGATATGCTGAGAATAATTCCTGAAGTGTATCATGCTCAAATTGTCACCAGAAGGAGGTCTGCCTTTGTTTGGGTGGCAAGTTTATTTTGATAGTTGTTCTTTTTTTTATTTTTAAATAACATTCTTCAAAATGGAAAACATGGGTAGCCCTCTTAGGACATAGAGTGTTTGTTCTTTTCAGTATCATCAAATGTTGAACATTTAAAAATTTTGTTGTTGTTACTTGCTTCAGTGGTACTTAAGATTTATCTGATTGTACATATTGTAAAATCATGCAATATTAGGAAAGAATTGGATACTATAGTGAAGTGACAACCAGTTCTGAGCAGAATGCGTTATGGAGATATTTTACTGAAACGTTTTTAAAGAAATATTCAATGCAGTGAAGCCATGTTTAGAGAAGTTGTTGCACAGAGAATTACCCTCTATCTGTTCCTAAGGACACTGGAAACAAATATCTAATCCCTTGTAACAGCTGAAGCATTAAGTGAGCATCTAATGTGGGGGATATAAGGATGAACAAATGTGAAAGAAACCTACATTATTGAGCAACAGTTATTGTCCAAGCTCTAAAAGTTAAACTTAGTTACTTCTAATAAAATTGGCATTGTTGGACTCATCTAACATGAGAAAACTGACGTTAAGGACCTTAATTATCTTAGTGAAGGGATAGACCGGAGTGTCTTACCCAAATCTATGTGAATGAAATATATGGGATAAAAAAAATATTTATACTGAAGCCAATAATTGTGAAATCAATTGAAACTGCCTTTGAAGAACCCATTTTGCTAAGAAATATAAGAAAAACTCCAGTTGACAAGGTACCTGACAGAAACTGCATGTCAGTGTAGCTGTTTGGGTTGCTGTGTGGATGGAGAGTGGTAGGCAGAAACAACAGAGGAAGACCAGGAGGAGCTTCTATGGAATGAAATGAAATGGAATGAAAGAGAAGGGAAATATCTAGGGAGGCCCCTAATCTCCTACTGAACATTGCTTCATTTTGCAAATCTCTTTGGAAGAGATCACTATGCTGCTTCTCAAATAGCAATATTTGATTTAAGCCTGACAGGATGTCTTTCTTCTTGACATTTTTATTTGTGATGCTGTTACCTTCTCTGCAAAAGGCTAGATGATGGTGATGTCCGAGTCCTAGATAATAGCAATGAAATGCTGGACCAGTATTTATGATTCTTGTCTTTGAGGCATTTAAAATCTTCTATCACAACCATTCCCTCCCATTAATTATTTGTATACTTTCATCTTAACATCTTGCCACTTCAAGCTGTTAACCACTAATCATGTGGGTAGGTTTCTCAGAATATGTACAGCCAGATTCCCTCATCTTTCCACACCCTGCAAATCCTTTCCTTGCACGATTTTCCTTTGAAGTCAATGGTTAGCCACACAGAGAAGAAAATATATGAGGTACTGAGAGAAATGAGTGTGAGGCCCAGGGACCAGGGGGAGAAATGTGTCTTTCTTCAAGCACCTTGATACATTTGACCCTATTCTCTCTGTGTAGGTTTTCACTACACTCCTAACGATTTCAGTTCTAAAATAGGGACTTCAGGTTCTTCAGCAAACACAGCTTCTAGAATGTTTCCCACACTGGGAGAAGAGGAAAGAGTCATTATAATTTAAAGTACAGAAAACATGACAAAGTTGGAGTGATCTCTCACCCTTTGATTTCATTTCACTATTTTGTTTATAAACTTCAACTAACAGCCATGCACAAAATTAGTAGGGCAAAATCTGATCCAAAGATTTTTTTTTTAGTTTCTTCCCAAATTAAACTTGTCTTTTAACTGTTTTGAGGAAAATAAGCATCAGTTGTTACTACATATGGATGATAATAATTTTTTTTGGATGCTGTTTTTTAATGATTTCTGTTTTGAGTTTTTCTTTTATTGAAGAAGAAATTAACTTTATAGGTGTATGGATTACATGATGTACAATTAGCTTGACCTTCACATTTTTGAGTACTTAGTTACTGACCTCATAGAAATGGCTGAATTATAAGGGAAAGCTTCTAAGTCATGACAAATGAATAATGGAAAGGGAATCCTGGTGTCTGGTTCTGATCGCCTCTCATTAGCTTTGTATCCCAGACAAGCCTTTCACTCTTATTTATTATCTAGTAAAGGGAAATCATGGATTTATTTGCCTTTTAGAATGCTTTTTGATCTTTACATGAGATGTAGTGATGGAAAAATTTATCAGCAAGCAAGAGTAGACTGTTTTTATGAGGTACAGCCACACATTAACACATTTCAATAGGACAACTGAGGAGCTGTAGAATTAAACACAACCAGCAAACCCACCGAGACTTTCTTTCTCACAGTAGTCTTCAATGCTTGCTTTCATATTACATGGTATCAAGAAAAGAAGCAGGGCATTGACCAGGGATTCTATTTTTTTAATAATTAGTAAAATACGTATCTGAATTTAATATTTATCTTGGACTTTTTAAATTCCTCTCTCAGTTAGATGTATATAATAAATACCTAATACATGAGGTCATTTGTAATTCAATATTTTCAGTTAACAGAACTCATTTAATATATATATAATTCTTCCATTTTGGTGGGCAATTCTTAAAATAGATGACCTGTATCTATTAACTACATTTGTCTCTAAGAAATATTTCTATTTGTGTAGGAAATCAGATGACTATTATGCTGTGATATACTTCATAGCACCTGAGAAATAGTCCACTAAGGTCAAATGAAAGAAAACCTCTTAATGAAGAAACTTTCCTTCCATTAACATGGCCCTGTATTATAAACCAAATTTGAAAAGAATTGTAATATTTTTCCCCCCTTGGGAGAATAAGTTTCACTCCTATGCCAGAAATTAAACAATAATATTCCAAAAACAAAACTAAAACTTTGCATATTAATAACATTATTTATCCAAATTGGTTTCCAAATATTTACTTAATGATAATAGTTTAAATAGCTACTTTCAGTTCAACTATAATACAACTTGTATTTTTCTTAAAATGAGTAATTGGGATATTAGCATTTCAGGTAATTAAACAGAGTCATCTGTCGAGTCCATGAGAATGCCAGAGTTGTCATCTGTCTGCCAACGTTATGCAAGGCATTTGGTTCACATTCAATAAAAAACATGTTGATAGATTATTTCCTTGATTGAATTTTTATGTTAAAATGTCTTTTAAATTACATCTGTTGTGCCATAGCCATTTAATTTTGTAGGGCAAAGAAAAGTTAAAAAATGAAAGCATTACTACAGAAATTAATACCACTCTTTTGGGTCCTGTGTTCTGGAGTTTTACAGAGAACTAGACATTTAGAAGACTTCATGTTTTCTCTTATTTATTGTGAACTTCAGGTTAGGAAAGACATTAATGAGTAGCATCTGTCCTCTTAATAAACCGACTGGAGCCAGTGGTTGCTGGCACACGTAAGAGTACAATGCCATTCTTGGTACCTCACTCTACTAGCCATGGTTCCAAAGTTTTTAGACAGAAGTCTTTACTCTCTTTTCTTGACACATTTCATCACATAAAAAGCCAGGAATGCATTGTCTGTTCTACTGTCCAAGTTACTTCTCTACTGATAGCTCTAATCTAAATCTTCATGAAATATTTACAAGCCATATTCTCACATTCTTTCTTAGCAATGCTAAGAGAAAAGAAGGCATCATAAGTGTTTAAGAGTGGGGGTTCTGAAGCTAGCCAGCTGGATTTTGAGTCAGATCTTCTAAGTGGTCAATTTTTCCCTGTGTCTTGGTATCTACATCTTTAAAATGAATGTATTATTACTGACTTTCTTACAGGGTGTTCAAAAGGATGGGCAGGCAGAGGAAGGCACAATCATGTCTATCCTTATTATGCGATAGCTGCAGTCTCTTAGACATTTTCATCCTCATGGTGAAGATGGTGATCATCATTACAAACCAGACCACTTTCGGCAAATTGAGATTAAAGAAGCAAGTTCATGATACTCTAATGTTATTCAATAGATTACATCTTTTAGCATGTTTTAATTCTGTTCTCAGGTTTTTAATAGGAGGATTCATGCTATCTAGGCGCCTTGTCGAGTACTTTCATGAAGAAAAATGATGTTGTTAGATTAAAGGGTGAAGCTTTACATACATTTGATTTGTAGCATTTGGATTGATTTCAAGACAAACAGTTCAGTGATACTAAGAACTTGTGCCCCCAAGCACAGAAGACACTTATATAGGAAATGAGAAGAGCTAAAATATGAATAGTATGAAATGCTTTAAAGAGCAAGTCAGAAAAATGTGTCCACTGCCCCAATTTTAGTGAGAAGTTTCTTATCTGTTATTGAATTGGCTTGTCTAATTAATACTATAACTTACATACAGACCACTTATGGAAGGAAATGACAAATTTAATTATAGAGCATGATATGATATGCCCTGGCCCTTGCTTTCATACTGTTTGGAGAATATCATGTTATTTATTTCTTTAGAGTGAACTCTGCCCTAATTTTTAAAAACATCCTTAATTTGAAAGAATGTAGATGAGTGAAGTGACTCTACATGACAAGTTATTTATTCTTCACTGATTATAATATTTCTTTTTTTTCTCTAAACTATCTGAGAGTATCATTGCCCACCTCACTGTATCCCCAACTCCTGGAGATCTAGTATGTTGTCAGATAAAATCATTATCTTGATCCTTAAGCACTTTTTTTTTATGTTAGCCTCAAAAACATATTCCTTATCTGTGTTTTATAATTATTATTAATAGAAGGACAGAAGAAAAGAAGAAACTCACTTCATGAATTCAAGAAGTCAGCAAAGACAACACTATTTAAAGAAGACCCATTTCTGAAGATGAAAACAAAAAAAATGAACACTACAGACCAATGTGCTCATAGATGTATTAGGAATAAAGGACTTCCATTTACTTGCAAGTAAGTTACTTCATTTTGTTCTTAGGATAATTTCCAAATACAATATGTACTTATTATCATCATCACATATTTTTTTTGTACTTAATATAATTTGCCCTTAAAATTATAAGCTTGGCTTTAGTGTTAAACACATTACAGCAGAAGACTGAGCTAACAGTTGATGGAAATATGAGTAAGGAAGTACATATAAAGTTAATCCACAGTGGCTTTGGTTATGGAATTTACATATCATCATCTTATAAACAATTGAACTTTAGGAACTGAAAGATAATTCGATTTACTTTTATCTCATGTTTAAATGTTTTTAAAAAAACATTTAAAATATTCTATTCAGAGTAAACATTTTTTCTTTCTTTCAAGAGGAGTAAAGAAAATTTCAGAATATATGTTGAGCAATAGCCAAAATTTACTGTAATTTATGTCATTCATTGTCTTTAGAGATTTAAATAAAAGGTGTTGAGAGAATAGGATTAAAAACTGGAGGGATTGGTGTCAGCAGCAGAGACTGTTTAGGCCAGGGTAGTGATGATGACATTTTAGATGAAAAGTGATGGGGTAATTCAGAGAGGCATGCGGCAACTCAGAGTGAGTTTTGCTACTTGTGAGAGTCCCTGTGTGACCTCACAGAGAATTCCTTACAATGTTGCCAGTAACCCCAGAGGATACAATTTGGAATTTTGGGCCATGAAGGTGACAATTTCCTCCTAACTGCCCAAGGAAAATGTGTTTCCTAGTTCTTCTCCGTAAACATTTCTCCCCTCGCTTATGTTCCTCCCTTTCATTCCCTATGTCATCCCACATGTTAAAGGATTTAGCATGACACCCTGTAAATTTTAAATTCTGCTCTATAACATTTGGGTCATGACATATAATGGGAACACAGATTTAGTAATGTCATGGCAAGTGGTATGAATTTCATCTTGCCTTTCTCAGAGAAATGAATGTTATGGGCCTGAGGGGAAAGTACATGGTCAGAGAATAACTTCAATAGATTTAGAGAGACGAGAGACTATCTCCTTCCTATCCATTTATAACTCCTCTGGAAGTATTTTATAGCCAAACTACCACTTTCAGGGAGATATTTCTTGGCAAGAATAGTGGGGGATTGACTTTGCAAATATTTTCCTATGATGATTCTGCTTCTTTCCCCTGGCTTTCTGATAAAAGCCTTGAGTTAGTTAAAAGTAAATTAGAGAAAACCACTCTCAATCAACATCTCAGCTGTGTAGATTTATGGAGATGTTCTTCTGGCAACTGAGGAGGTTGGGTTTACTGTATTTTTCCCTCTTGGGGTTGGAAATGCAGGGCAGAGAGAATTAGAGAACCACAATCATTGTTGGTTTTTAACTCTAAATCTGACAATACACTCTCCTGGATCCACAAGTAAGGAAAATATTGCCACTTTTCAATTTTCACATTCATCAGCCTTGTGCTTATTAAAACCAAACCAAAACAAAACAAAAAACCTTTTCCTTTGTTTTATTTAGTAGAAACGAAAATGAATTTGGTTCATTGGAGGGCACATGTGACCTGATTAATATATTTTTACATACCCCCTGTATATGCGGTTTCACATTTTCCTACTATATTCTGGTTGAGTTAAATTTAGTCTCCAAATTTATGGCAATCTATACAGAAAATCACATGTTATAAAACCCATGGACAGCCCAAGTTTTCCTGTCTAGAAATTGTATCATCCTTCTCATTTATCTATACCAATATGTGTGCATTATACATATGTGTTTGGAACCACTAGATACATTAGTTATTCAGAATTAAATATATATATATATATACATATATATATATATATTTGAAATATATATATATATACACACACATATATATTCGATATATATATATATATATTAACTGTGATATTCTGAAATTAGGTTCTTAATGAAGTAAATGGTATTTTTGCCAACTTGTTATATGGACTAGAATCATTGGCAAACAAGGGAAAATATAGGAAAATGTTTGGAAAATACCAGCAAAGCTGTGTGAAAGCATCTGGGCTTGACTGGGCATGGGGTGGAACATTTGTCAAACACTCTTTTCTCTTGAGAAGGGATCAACAAAAATTGGTTGTGTAGAGATTGAAATTTTCCTTTGCTGGGAAGGAAAGCTAACAAGAGTGCCTGAGCTAAGGTCTTCAGAAAATTGTTGTTCAGCAATTGGCTCAAGAGAAGAAAACTGGAGGCTTTCCTCTTCTAGCCAAGACTGAGTGACTCTTACTGCAATTGCCCTTGTGCCATGACCAACAAGGAAAATAGACAAAATAAATTCTTGAAATGAAGATGATAATTAAAATAAAGCTAAGATAAAGACTCCTAAAGTCTTAAAAATAAAATGAGCCAATTTTATCTTATCAAGGTATTCTGCCACAGCTACAAAACTAATACTTTGATGATTTGCTTTTAATTACTATGTCAGCTGTAAAATGTTTTATAGGTAGATATTTAAAAATACAAAGCACTTAAGTTTGTGAATATGTTTTGAAGTTATGGATATAGAATGAAATGTAGTAAGTATATAAAATAATAAGTAAAATATTTTTTTAAAAATTTATGGCATTTTTATATTTGTTTTATAAAAAAGTATTTCCCCTTATTGATATTATTTCTTAGTTGTCAAAATACTAAGAAATGAATGTTTGCAGTTGGTGGCATCATAAGTAGCATAGTAAGGAATTTTAATACCATTTTTTAAAGGGAAGGAAACACTTCAGAATTCCAACACCAGTTCTTATGTAGAAAATGTTATCCAATACTTTACTATTTATAGTTAAGAGATTTTTGCATTTATAATTTTAGTTTAGAAAGACTTTATATTGCCCTCCTTGGTTAAACCATGTGCCCAATCTTTAAAAACTGTATAAATAGTAGTATTCCTTCTTTTCATTCAGATATTTTTTTCAGGGCCTTTGTTTTTGATAAAGCAAGAAAACGATGCCTCTGGTTCCCTTTCAATAGCATGTCAACTGGAGTGAAAAAACAGTTTTGTCATGAATGCGACCTCTATGAAAACAAAGGTAACTGGCCACTTGCTAAATATTCATAATGAAATTAAGTATAAAAATATGTAAATTCCTGCCACAGTTCTCTTTCCCATGGGTTTTTCTGTTATATACTGGATCTGTTATACATCTATAACAGGTACATCTATAAATGTTAATTCATCTATAAAGACAGATGACACTAGAGACTTGACAATAGAATGACACTTTTGATACAGAGATCATTTTCCAAATGTCCCATAATTAGATGACCTCTACTCAGTTTATTTCTAGAAGCCTCTCCTAGAACTGGTAGTCTCCATGTCATTTTGGAAAGTGCCACCTTAAGCTATTAGTTTAAGACATTTTACATTACAGCAAATTTGGGTAGTATTGTAGTATTTTAAATTTAACAGCTTTAAATATCTAAGTTATAGTGCTGATTGCTAATAATAAAAAAGTGGAGATATTGAAAAAAATAGTTGGATCTATTAGTTGGATCTATTTCTAATTATTATGTTCTTTAAAACATTTAAAATTATATACATATATATTTATTGATTTCAGAAAGGAAGGGAGAGAAAGATAGAAACATCAATAGTGAGAGGGAGTTATTGATCGGCTGCCTCCTATACACCCCCCACTGGGGATGGAACCCACAACCCAGGCATGTGCCTCGACTGAGAATTGAAGCTTCATCTTTTGGTTCATAGGTTGACACTTAACCACTGAGCACACTGGCCAGGCTAAAAATACTTTTTTAAAGAAGAATTGAGACCAAATTGTTTGTTAATTTGTCTATTTTAGTATTCTGATATTATATTCACAGGGTGTTTACTTTGTAAAACACATAATTATATCAAATAATTGAAGAATGTTAAATAAATATGAATATGAGAAGATAAATCTTTCATCACAAGAAGTAGTTATGGATTGTATTTGTAATTGCATTAATTTTAATTTTAATGCTTTCTTCAATCATATTGTCTTATTAATTTAGGCATTTGGTAATATATTACACAGATATTTTCTTATAATGGTATATGTCTAAATTAAGATTGGTTCATGGTAGAAAATAAGATGATCTCTATACACCTCAATAATTCTACAAATCCTAAATATAATTCATACTCTAGTATAAGACCATCTTCAACTAACAACTGTATTGTAGTTGATATTGTTTGATGGAAATATTCAGCATGTTTCAATTTGATTGCCCTGCAATTTAGCAGTAGAAATATTAGAAAAAATATGGGAAAAAATCAAAACAATATAATTATCTCTCTCTCTCACACAGACACATACACATATATAAAAAACCCACACCATTTTACTGAAAGAAAAATTTAGTTATGTTTATTATTTAAAGTAACTTTCTGAATTCAATATAGGTTTTATAAATCCATTAATTTTCATTTTTAATATTTTCTTAACATGGTCTGCATAATTGAGCAAATCATTCTGCCAAATTAAGTTTGTCTGGCCAATTGAGTGTAGAGACTATGTTAAATACACAGACTTACACGATCAGTTATTCAAGTATATGCTCACAAAATTAAAACTTCTCAATGGACTTTTTTGTTGTTGTTTTGTATTGTTCTGAAATGTATTATTTTGAAAATATTAGTAGAAGCTTTAGGCAAGACATTTCAATATGATATGAAAAACAGTAGTTTACAAGTGGTAATTACTTAAAAGTTTGAATGGAAGTTTCTTTTACTTTTAGATATATACCACATGTTACTCACAGTTACAACGTTTTTCTCCGCTTTCTTCTGATAGACTATATTAGAAACTGCATCATTGGTAAAGGAGGTAGCTACAAGGGAACAGTATCTATCACTAAGAGTGGCATCAAATGCCAGCCCTGGAATTCCATGATACCCCACGAGCACAGGTAAGAACAGCATGAAGAAGAGAGGATAAGCCTCTTTTTTTTTTCTTTTTTTTTTTTTTTATTATGTGTGTTAGTCCTTCAGAATAATTCTACAGTTCTATAATAACTTAGACAACCTTGCTAAATTATATTGGGCCAAGGATTATGTGAATTCATGACTGGTATTTAGACAAAGATGAACAAATTTATCATTCAGATATGGCCTAAGGTCATCCTACCTCAAAACTTCAATTTATAGATCTTAGTGTTTGTGAAAAAATAATGGGAACATAATTTTAAAAGATTCCCCCCTCCCTTCGTCTTCAAGAAGGCTCCGCATTGTGTAGCTGGAGTTGGAGAGGTTGACTGTGTAAGTTAGAGATGGGTCACATTCTGACCTTACTCAGTGGCCAGGGCCAAATGTTCTTAAACCATTGAGGTTCTCAACCTTGGCTGCACATTAACATCACCTGCTAGAAGCCCATTGACAAATTCTGCCACCCAGGTATCAGCATAGACCCATTCAATCAACATTTCTTGGGGAAATAACCCATGCATCGTCATTAAAAAAAAAAAATGCTAACCAGATGATTTCAAAGTACAGTCAAAACTGAGAAAGTCTGCTAAAAACTCATGCCTCTGACCAGCTTTCCCATTTTACCTACTGTGCAATGACTAAAACAAACATAACTCAACTTTCTCATTTCTTGGGAATTAAATTTCTACACTTAAAATTGTGTTCATTATGAGATGATTGCTATTTAAAGATGAGTAAACAGACTCATTAGTCCGAAAGTGTGAATCATAATGGAGGAGGAACATAGATATCTACTGCCCACTAGAGAACTATCTTTAGCCAGTTTTTAAGGTTTATTTTACAAATAATTTTAACTGGAACTAAAGTAGTTGAAAAACAGCTCTCCCTGGTTATTAGATGCATTAGAAGATTTAGATTACCAGGTGGCAGTTACCTTGCTGAACAGTATACTGGGTCTGTCTCCTTTAATCTTTCCAAGAAACACATAGTGGATGGTTTTATTAATTCCGTTTAATATAGGGGGAAGCTGAAGCATGAAGAGCCATAGTAACTTTTCAAGGTCATTCACACCTAGTCAGTGGGATTGCCAGAATCTGAGTTCTGCTTTTAAGAAGCCCAGGGCATCATGCTCGTAGCAGGTCAGTAGGACACCTGCTGTCACTTGTTTTTGCAGTAGTGAGGATAACTTAGTCTCAATGAATCCACTTTTTATCCCATTCCATTGATTTTTTTGGAGGGTATAATTATGAAAGATGATTTCACTTCAGTAACAAAGATTAGGTAATTGGCCCATCTACAAAGAAAAAGAGTTTGTTGCTTCACATTAGGATCAAACTAAAGATCTCAGCCTAATGAATACCAGCTAATAAGTGCCCAAACTGATCAGCTTTCCAGTGTCTCAGTAACAAAAAACAACTAATTTTTCAGGTTATTGATTTTTTCATTTTAAATTTATTTTCTAACTTTATTGTTATTGTTGACACTATGACAGATGTCCCCGTTACCCCCTCCCCCTTTGTCCACCTCCACCCTGCCCTCACTCCTCCTTTTTTCTGGCCATCACCACACTGTTGTCTGTGTCCATGGGTTATGCCTATATGTTCTTTGGCTAATCCCTTCACCTTCTTTCATCCAGCTTCTCCCTCCTCCCTCCCCTCTGACAGCTATCAGTCTGTCCCTTGTAACCATGCCTCTGTTTCTACTTTGTTGGTCAGCTTATTTTGATCCACACATAAGGGGATCATATTTATTTTTAATTATACACAGATATCTATGAAATAGAGAATTGTTCTTATATTTAAAAAAACAAACAAACAAATAATTTGTTTTGTCCTCTCATGGTATGTGGATGGTGTCATTCTCAGGATAGTACGGAAAACATCGTCTTTAAATACATAGATCTATGCTTTTCATGAACAAATGAATAGCATTTGAAACCAATCCAGCTTTAGTTAAGGAGAGTGCACTGGACTGACCCAGTAGAGGTCTTATTTCAACCCAATTTCTCTATGATTGTGATTCTCCACTAGAGGAGTAAATGTGAAATAGATCTCCCTGGGAACAGGCTTTCCAGTCCAATCAGCTATTTTTCCAACAAGCATTTCCTTGAGTCTAGGGCTGAGAAGATCTTGTACATTAATCAAAATTTTAAAAAATTCAGTGGGAGCAAAACTTAATTATCATCAATTATCAGCTTATTGAAAAATCAACATGATTGCTTAGTACTCTTAAGTGTTAACTAATGATTAACTTCATGGGGAATGGAAAAAGAAATATATACATGTCTTTGTCTAGAGGAATGATTTGTTGTTGACTTCCTAAATTGAAATATTTTACAAGTGGCTTAATGGGAAGATGATGATAGATGATGAAATTAGTATAGAAACTTAACCAGAAAATCAGGTGACCTGATATCTACACCTCTATCTTTCATTGGCCACCCAGCATTCATTAATGAAGCAGATGATGGAATAGATCAAGTTTCCTATGAACACCATTTATATTAAAAGAAAAGAAAAGGTGACTAGCTCCAGAAGATCTAATTTATATTCCAAAGTATCTTTAAATATAACTCAATTTTAAGTATTTCTTCACTTATCTCAAAGCCTTGCCAACAAGGACAAAGAACCAATAATAGTATATATGTAAATAAAAGTTTATTACAAATCCTGTTGACTGGCATCTGGATTTGGTGTAACAGGTTTTCATAAACATTTGTTGAATGAACACAAATAAGTGAAAAGAGAGGGACTAGACTTCACCCCTCAGTGAGATACAGGCTGCTAAAGAAAATCATGCTAACACCACAAAGCACAAAGGAAAACCAGTAAAAAGCCATATATGCCAAAGAATGAAGAGCAGAGATAACTGGTGTTCTGGTTACATTGCATGTCTTAAATAGGAATTCTATATGAATTGATAAAGAGTTATGAAAAGAAGCACATTTTTTCTCTTCATTTCTCATTTTGTTAACTCCAGTGGGGCAAGTTTATTCATTTTTCAGCCACTTTTAGATTTGATTTACACTTTATCTCCCTTTCTACTTGTATTTTTCCTACTAAGTTGTTTATTCATTAACTACTTCTTCACAGCTTATTTTTTGCTTTAAAAATCCACTGGAAAGATATAGGTGTATATATATATTTGTGTGTGTGTATGTGTGTGTATAACAAAAATATTCTCTAAAGCTATATAGTTAATGTGTTCATTTAACATGTGCTAAATCCATTATTTAGTTTCTTAAGTAAACTTAGTATGTAAAATGATACAAAATGAAGGACTTCATAATAATCTAATTCACTCCATTCATTTTGTACATCTGGAGGTTGAAAACCCCAAAATTATATAAGTAATCTAAGAACTGGTGTCATATATGGCAGCGATGTAGATTTTGTTATTAACAATAACTTATTCTTACTACTGTACTATACTAAGCTTTTACATAAAATAGAGTGATAAAAGAATTTTCTAAGGTAAATTTGATTAATACATTACTTTATGAAAAATAGTAAAAGCAGTTTTGAATCTATCAGAACAATAGTGTTTCATTATAAAGTTATTATCAAATATTGGAGAACTGACAAAAATGAAAGAAAATAAATTTCAAGCAATGGCATATACAAAAAGTATACTAAATTATTCTGGAATAATAAGACTAAAACTAAGACAAAGGATGACTACTTTTTCCTTTGAAAATGAAAACTGTTAGAAAATTGTGAAATCATACGAGCTTTAATTGTTCATTCAATTGTTTAATTTTTACTTCCACAGAGTAAAGACTACTAAGTGCAATGTGCTTAATAATAGCATTTATTGTCAATTACTCTGTCATCCTTACAAATTCTCAAAACAACCATATACTGTGTAAGATATGGTAACACAGTATACTGTGTTATAAGTTATGGTTATATCCATTGTACAGGTAAGCTAATAGGCTGAGAAGTCAAATTACCTGCTGGGTCTCCAGTTAGTTAGTGAGAGAGTTGAAATTTGAGTCCAAGTTTAATTTGATTCTAGACCCTTTGTTCCTGTTACTTCATCAGGCTATTTCTCAGTTGCTCAGAAAATAAGAGGAACATTCTTCATAATAAAAGCAACAAATAACAAGCAATTATGTGGGATAAGCAGTGTAACTGAGATTTCAAGGTCAATTGTAGTGTTTCCTCAGTTCTCTCTTTAGTGGCCTTGCTCAATCACTTGCTGCCTTTGAATGGAGCTTTGAAATTGTGGTACAAACAATATCACTAGGTTCTTAAATGTTTGGCTCTTGGAAAATCCAGCCATGAATGATGAACATGTGAATTGTTAGCTAAGTGTTTTTATAAAACTTAAGGGTTTTAAGAATGGATGGAAATAACAATTAAAGTTGATATACAGGATGGGGCAGTAGTAGGTGTACAGTTGTCCATATGGAAAACAATACATAATTAATAAATGATAATACAGGAATAAACTCTGTGTTTTGCATGCTCACAAACTGTAAGCCTACTTCTGCCCCACCCTGCAGATGGAGGTCTTAGTTAGAATAAATGTTTTTCTACTTTCAGGGAAAACATACCCACTAATTAGTAAATTTAATAGGCTCAAAGTAAAGTTGCATGCGCTTATACTGTAATGATTATCATTTTAAAACTAGCTTTTTGCCTTCGAGCTATCGGGGTAAAGACCTACAGGAAAACTACTGTCGAAATCCTCGAGGGGAAGAAGGGGGACCGTGGTGTTTCACAAGCAATCCAGAGGTACGCTACGAAGTCTGTGACATTCCTCAGTGTTCAGAAGGTAAATGAGCCTGAATGCCCTGTGGGGCCCTCTGCTCCTCCTTTGTGTAGATCCGCAGCTCGTGCGAAAGGTTTACAAAAACAAACTGAATTGCAATGAAAATGCTGTTTATTCAAACACAGCCATAGAGAATTAACTGAGCATTTTATACACAGTTTTAAAACCTGATCGTCACCAGGTGAATGCAGAATAAGGAAGCCGGTTATCAGCTTGTGCGTTTAATGGAGCCTGAGGCATCCTTCTGGGGAGAGTGTAAGTTTGGACTTTTTCATTAACTGGGTGGAGCTCACATGCCTCCAAGTCTGTCTCCATACCTCATCTGAAAGGAACCGAAGGAAACTCAGCTCTTTATGAGCAGAGCTAATTCTCTGTTCATCAAACGCCTGCTGCCACAGCAGCGGTGCAGCAAGGGTATATGAACCCAGAAGGGCATAGGGGAGGGGATCACTGGAACTGGACACACCTGTGTGCATTTTGGTGCAAATGTGACTAAAACCAAATCTAACACATAGACTGGAACACTATTCAGAAGAGTATCTGGAGAGATCAAGGCTGTCTTGAAGGCAGGCACCCTAAATCCATGTCTATGTTTTTACCTCCTCTCACTGCATAAGAGGGCACTGTGCTTGCTTTTGCAGTGGAAAACTGAATGACTGGCGAGAAGGAAGAGTAACCATTTCAACATTGTATGCGGTTTATTTTTCTTAGTTATCTGGCTACTGAATAGCTGTTCTGTCAGAACCTAAAATTCTGAAAATCCAAATGAAACATGGATTTCATTCTGATAGAAATTTAGTAGTTCAAAGTTCTTAGGGGTAGGGGATGTTTGCTGAAATACTGTCCAGTTTTTATAGTAAGTTATCTTACCTATTTGTTAATGAACCAGTTTTTTAAAGACATTTTTTCCATAAATATCAATCTAATATTAGGTTGGTAGTATCACATAAAAAATCATTGTTAGTTAATTGTCACAGAGAAGGTGGATTTGTGTTCTGTTGTTAGTTAATTTAAAATTGACTTCATGTGTCAGTTCTATCTCTGTTTGTAAATCCTTACTTTTCATTCAGTCCATATCGTATTCTGTTCACTATAACTTCTTCATCATTGTTTTCTTTTCTTTTAAAAATAATAAACTGATCTGTGACAACATGATGAACAAGTCTGTTTTGTATGAATAAGTCCGTCATTAATGTTTGCCTTAAATTTACACCTGGAAGAAAAAAACGTGCTTTTGGGAAACTCCATTATCACCATTTTCTGAGGTTGAAAATCATTGCACGGAGTTTTGTAATCAATTTTGTTTGATCTTGGAAAGTGTTTTCAAGGAAAGGTAACATGGTCACACTGTAAACAGTTTAGCACTTATGTTACCTGCCTAGTCTGTATGAGAACATAACTTTTCAACCACTGGTTCATAAGAGAAACATTCATCAAAATACACTGGCATAGATCTGAACTGAGAGTTAATGTAGAACAAACATGTTAGTAAATAAGTAATTATAAAAGTCCTCTTTCCAGTTACTCTTATGTCATTAGATTATATATCTCTAACATCCTTTAATCATTTCAGGTCATTGGAAAAGGGCATTGCTCATTAATATAACGGTGCATGAGGCTGATGGTTACAGTGGCACTGAAGGTTGCAGATATGCTTTTTCTGGAAACAATTAGAAATCTGACAATAGTAGAAAAACGCTCCCATGAGAGGAGTAAATGCTGCCCTATAGGCTAAACATATCTCAGGGAGTGTGAACTGAGTTGAGTTGTGATGTTTAAATTCATTCTATAATGAACAGTGTTTTAGTGGGATTTTAATAAAGAAGATCTAAAATAAGAAGCACTATCAATACATCAATAAAGAAAAACAACTCTTTATAAAAGAATAAAATACTCAAAATAATGTACAAATCATGTTCATTTATATTACGATACATTTATAAGGGGAAAACCTCAAAATCTAGAATACTTAATATCATCAGTGAGCCATTTTCATCTATGTATATTCATTTATTAAATGGCAATTTCCAAAGGTTACATCATTATGGATGAGGTAGTAATAATAAAATAGTTGTGGATATTTAAAAATTAAGCAAGAAAAATGCCTCAAGTCAAACTTCAAACTGTTCTTTCAGAAAATACATGAACAGTATATATTTTTTGAAATATTTGTAACGAACTTTTGACTAAATATTCATCTGAAATTTTTCAGAAAGTTTGGTTCATAAACAATATATATCTGATGTCTGATGGTTAATATTTTCTTATAATTTAAAACTTTGAAATATATTAAGCATTTTAGTAGAAATGCCAATCTTTGGTTCAAAGGTTGTGGAAAACTGAGCTTTGTAAAATCTAATTTCTTGTTTTAACTTTTGCTTGGGATTTAAAATAAAGCCAACACTAGTCATTGGAACAGATGTCTTTTTAATGATTGTCAGATATCCGAGTAAATACATTTTAATCCATAATCATTAATTTTTAATGTCTCACACATAATATCCCAAATAATACTGTGTGTTAAATTCATACTCTGCATGGAGAAAGACTTTAAAAGCAAATATTTAAATAAAACTATTATCTATATATGTGGATTTGTGAGACTATCCATATTTTAAACATTCAGTTTTTTCTGAAATAATCACCAGCATGGAATTTGCTGTAAAATATTTTTGAAATATCTCTTTTAGTCTGTAAACTCAGCTCGCTGTGATTTTAGGATTGAGAAAAATGGAACACAATATTTTTTGAGTTACTTAGCTAATATGGTGAGAAAGATGTTAAGTCACTTCTACTTATGTTACAATTATATGTCATTTTATAGTTTTCTACTACTACTTAAGTCAAAACTATATTCCAAAAGAACATTTTACTTATGAATAGAAATATTTATTTAGTTTGCATTTATGTGATCTGGATTAGTATTTTACTTTTTTGTACTTTTTGTTTGTTTGTACTGTCACCACAGTAAAAAGAGAAAAAAAAATATAGAGCAGAAGGGCAATCCTCATCCTCTTGTATTGTTAAATAGATTATGTTTTCACCTGGTTCCTTGAGCAGGTGGACTTAGTTTCTACCTGTCCTACCTATCCTGCTTTACTTTGAGCTACAAAAACTTAGAAGAGTCTTAGAATTCTGGAAGTTGGAGAAGTGACTGTAAGCTTAAAGACTGGCTTTCTTGAGGTATTTTTTTTAAAGACTAACCTGATGGTTTGATACAGTGATAAAACAATAAACCTTGGAAAAGATGGCCAACCTACTTGCTTTCCCAGGGCCTCCTTTTCCACATGCCTCAATAGGTGGAAATCCAACAGGAGGACAACCTACTGTTATAAACAGGAGAGCAAAAGGTAATTGGGACAATGTTGAAAAAGTCAGGGAGGTTGACTTTTTAAAATTATTGTTACCAGTCTATCTTAAAGTATGACTAGTTAGAATGTATAGGGAGGGGACACATTAAAATATGTAGGACACAAGCAAGGAGGGAGAATGGAAAGAACACTGGACTATTATGGGTCAGAAGACCTGTGTTCCCAGCACAAGTTTGACATTTTCTGTTTTAGGTAAGTCCTTTAAGATTTTGTGAGTTCTTTCCTCCCTACATAGATCAGATGATTTCTTATACATTAAAAGTACTGAATAATCAAAGAATATGTAACAATAATATATTTAGCATCTTCTCTTCTATCATCATAACACATTTATTGATTTCCAAAATCTAACATTATTCTTGTTAACTTTTATTATTTAAAAAAAATCTCACTAGGTCTGAGACTGCATCCATAAGTATCTCTTTGCTTTACTACAAACATAGCATGCTAATTCATGTTTCTATACCATTTTATGGTATTTTGCCCCTTTTTTAGCTTAGCCAACTCTCATCCATCCTTCAAAGGACCAGGTAAAATCTACTCTCTTCTAGCAAGCTATTACTGACAAACACTTAGAATAGGACAAATTATCTACAAACTCGCTACTCAGCATGAGATCCAAGTACCAGAAGCAGCAGCATCTGCTGGGAGGATCCCCACCCCCAAAACCCTTTATAAGAACTTGACCTTTAAAAAATATCTCTAAGTGACTTTTTACTCACATTCATGCTTGGAGAAGCACTGGTCTACCACACTTATTCTAGAAAGTGGTCATAAGAAAATCAAAAATCCTAAGGTCCCCAGGAAAAATGTTTTATATTAATCCCCATGGTACAGCTTCCTAGATAATAACTTTATGCGCTCGCATGCAAGGGATATACTCTTATAAATTGCATTTGCTGAAGACAAAATGGATATATTTTAATTCCTTGAGTACTATATAAGGTTAGAAATTGAGAATGTGGACCCTTATCTCTTATGTCTGACCATAGTATTTTATTCTGTTTTCTCATTGAATTGCATTCAGTTTTTCATTCAATGTTATTCATTACAAAGGAGCAGACAACAATGATAACTGTCACATCATTTTCTGTGACGATATCAAACCTTGTCTTCTTTTAAGAAAGGGAACTAAGTCAATCTGTACCACATTCAAATGGAAAGCTCTTATGTGATCAGGCATCACCTATGTTGAGCCTTTCAATGTTGAAGTGACCTTGCCCAAACAGAGAACCTTTATCAATATGCTCTTGGACCCCTGAAATGTATAGAGCACAAGCTCATGAACTGTAGTCTGGGAATCTCAGGACCAAATGAGAGGAAGCTGAAGTGTCCTTGTCTTAGTTCATAGATTAAACTACATGAAAAGTAGATGGATCAAGCCAAACTGTCTCATGTTTCTGAGAGTTAACAGTTAATGTCCTATTAGATTATACAAACCAAAGGTTCAAAGTGATCTTTCTGATATTATACTCCAAATTATTACAAATGCTAAGTAGGCTAGATCTTGGTAGGTAAAATTAAACATTAACCTCTTTGCTCCCTTTCAGCTAAAGTTAGATGATCAGCAATCACAAGATACAAATGATGTGTTTAGGGAAGTTTGCCTGATCCGTAGGAAAGCCAAGCAATGATTTATTCCACAGGTTGCCTGCTGGACTACAAATCAACCTGTCCATCTGAGAAGTATCTTTTTCAGAGAGTTGAGGTGATTCAGGGTTTTTAGTGTGATATAAGAGGCCAGCCAGAAGAGAACTATTAATTAAACACATAGAATCATCAGTAAGATTCTGCATAACTCAGTCAACTTATACTTTTTAAAAACAGTGAGTACAAGGAGTTCAATAGTAGGTCAACTTCAATCCTCAACTAGATAAGAATAAAGCCTGCCCCATTATTCAACATGGATATTTGCTAATAGAAGAGAGCTATGCTTTCTTCTTTTAAAATATTCTTTGAATAGTAGCAGATTTCTATTCCAAGCTGGTCTCTACAACCTGCCTCATCCCTATTTGGGCATTGCCCGTAGGAGTCAGGTGTATACTCATTTCCTGTGCATGTAATTGGAGGTTCTGCTGACAAAGGGGCTTTATTGTACTGACAGTATAACTGCTGAGATCCCTTGCAGTTTAGACAAACCAAGAGGAAAACCCCAAGGCTCTGTCTGATATTTCCAGTTTCTGAGAACCTTTGGACAGTTATTGGAAAATTACAAAGGTAATTTCCTGGCCCTGTGGTAAATCTGTATGACACTGAGTACAAAAATCTCATTTAAGCTGTATGAAACCTTCTTTAAGGAGTATTTTATGTCATTCTTTATGGACATCAGGCCATAATTTAAAGTGAAAATATGTAAGTTTTTCTAGAAATCTCTTTGTGCAACAGATGATTTACTGTCCTTTAAGTGGAACAGCTGTGTTTTTGATTTTTCTGTCAGAAGCAATTAACATGCCATGCTTTAATTTTATTAGTAGAATGCATGACCTGCAATGGGGAAAGTTATCGAGGTCCCATGGATCATACGGAATCAGGCAAGATCTGTCAGCGCTGGGATCATCAGAAGCCACATCGGCACAAATTCGTGCCAGAAAGGTAAAATACCGCCAACCATGCTACCAGTGATTCTTTTCTCAAGGGGTGATGTGCTCCCTGACAAACTGGAATGGAAATTCTCTTTACACAATGTTTTCTGGAAAGTCTTGGGCAAAGGGGTTTAGGATGAGGTATGTGAGTGCTATGTACACCTGCAGTTGGTCTTGGTTGACTAGATTCCGATTCCCATGCTTCTCAGGATGGTCCTGAGGAGCATCTGTGGAGTGTGAAAGGGAAACACTAACAGAAGTTTCCTCTTTCTCTCTCACAGCTAAAAAAGACAAAGGGCCACTCAATAGTGACCTCTATGACCAACCTGAGCTCTGAGAGGAGGAATAATTGCTAAATATAGGCCAGTCTCCTTTTAGGGCCACATCTTCAGGGAGTTAGGTAACATGGCTCCCACGTGTGACCACATGACATAGTCTTGCCCAGGCAAAGGGAATGGGAAGTAGAGCTAGTGATCCTTTGGCTGCTTTATCCTGCTGTATTTTGATATTGTCAATCTGGGAAAGTCAGGTAACCAAGTCTACTTTCTCCTCAGAAGTAGGTTTTGAACTTAAATGGTTAAAAGAAATATCTATGTTGGCTCATTCATTTCACATGAAACATTTGTTGAAAAAAAAAGTCTTGTTTTTATTATAAAGATTAAAAATACAGATAACTTCAGAGAAAGTTTTACCCCTATCTTTGTTTAGAAATGTGTTTTTAGAAAAGTGTTTTTTTCTTCTTTATATTTTTATGTATTGTTCTTCTAAATGAGGTGAAAACTCTGCTTTATTTTTCAGTGCATCTCTAGTCCTTCACGTGAGAGCAGAAGGGACATGGTAGCAATTAAAATCAAGTTACCAATGCAGGCCCCAGTTAATTGAAAGGGAGGGGGGTAGGGAGAAAGGGGTGTGATGGAATTTGTCTCTTGCTCCAAGGGAGGTGAGGGCATGACCTAGAAAGGCTCTGGTTCCAGAATTGACCCATCATTAGTAACAGCTCTTGAATCCTACCTTTATTTTAAACTTAAAGCCTGCGATGGAATTAGACCTATTTTTTTAATGAGTATTTTACACGAGGTCATGCTTATGCAATCTGTTATTAACTGGGATTTATGAAAAGAGGTTTAGGTTTTGGACCTCAAATGGTAGACAGGTATCCAATGGACTTAACTTATTAGTAAAGGTGATAGTACTCTATACGGGTGGAAGATGTATAAGTTAATAGATTCAATAGTCCATGATTAGCAGTCCTTTTAACACAGAGATTTTTTTTTTCTTACCCCCCCCCCCCCCCCTCAGCTAGCTGTATCTGAGCTGAATCAGAAGTTATTTTGTGAGCTGGGAGGTGGGAGGTGTTTCCAGGCAGATTTACGTGACACTTTTGTTGGTGTGGTTTGCAGATATCCCGACAAGGGCTTTGATGATAATTATTGCCGCAATCCTGATGGCAAGCCGAGGCCATGGTGCTATACTCTTGACCCTGACACCCGTTGGGAGTACTGTGCAATTAAAATGTGTGGTAAGTTAGGGTCAAATTTATTGCTTCCTTTTCCTCCCACAGATTGAATCGAAGCAGGTGATTATTAGTGAGACAGGTTAACAACTATTTTTACTTGATGCTTTAATGTGTGTAGGTTTTAATATTTTAAAAATGTGTTACATAACCCTACCCAACCCGTTATTTTGAGAGAAATACGCAACGGAACACATACACACAAAACATTTGTACTTGTCAAAAGGCCTAACCATTCTCATGTCATCAAGGGGGGAAAAATCCACAGAAGGGGAAAAAGATCAGAGATTATATGCAGTGTCATAATGTCATTAGACTGTAAAAGCTAGGACCTGAGACTCTTACCTTCCCATACTGTATCCTTTCCTCCCTAGACATTACATTGGCTGTCAGCTCACTGTGAACCTCCTTTGGTGAATGACAGAAGCTGCAGTGATGAATAATAAATCTTTAATCTCTGGGAGCTGGTCCCCAAGGTTGTCCTTGTACACAACCTGCATTCTCTTTCAAACCCTTTTAGTAGTTCTACAATTCTTTTCTACACACTGTCCTTTACCCACTCCCACTCTCTGAATTTATGGTAAACAGTTTCTTTTCTTACTTGCTTTGTGGTATCTGTATGTTTGGTCCTCTCCTTCATGGTTCATTCACATCATTTTTACTCTTTTCTAAAATAATACTAATGAATAATAATTAGATATAGATATGCTTTTATTTCTATGAGTACAGATGGGTCTTATTTTTTTTTTCCAGCTGCATTCTAAAAGGCTTTAAGACCAGTAGAATTGCATAAATTTAGTAAGATGTAATAAAGATATCATTGACTTGATATTATAAAGCGGATGGGGATAGTCCTTTGAACAAACCTAATTCAGTGTTATCCACAGTATGATACTGCCAAGGTAAATCTCTCTTCACTTAGACCTGCTAATAGAAGAAAGTATTTTGGACAAATCAAAGCCCATAGAAAGGGGCCATGTCTGGATGAAGTAACTGCAGAATCTGGAGGCTCTCAATGTGAACACAAAGTTCCATGGAAATTTAGTCATCTGCTCGGTCCTTTAAAATAAAAGACTACTCCTGCGACAGTTTTTCTCTGTATAGATTGTATTAGTTCCACTTGTTGACTTTTAAAATCTTGTTATTCTTTCCATCATTCTAGACCATTTTAGGTATAACAAAACAATTGTTTTCCTTCCATTTTTTGTGTTTTAGGTACACTTATAAATTGTCTCTTCCAATTTTTGTGTGTTCTAGGCATACACACAAGCATACTCACCTGTACATTCACCCTTCAATGGATTCCCCCTCCCCCCCCCATTAAAATATTCACATGTTGCTCTCCTCTTCATTTTCCCAACCGACCATTGGCTATTTTTAAAGGACATTAGGAGAGGAGAGGAATGGAATGAATGTAACACTTCCTAACTATATGTTCTTTCTTTCTGTCTGAGGAAAAGTCAACTAATTATGCAAGTAGCATGCAATAATTCTGATGGCTTTGTTAAACAGAGGGTAGGATTTATAGGATGTTAGTTCTAAGAAAATGGTACAAGTGAGTCAAACCTAATGTTAAAATACTCTGCTGAGCTTTGGAAATATTTTAGAAATAATTTATTATAGGGAAGCTTTAGTATATAAAATTACATAAAATGAATAAAAGTTGACACTTGGAGTTCTGCAAAGTATGAGATAATGTTTTATGAATATCCTTTCATAATATTTTGGCTTCAGTATATAATAAAGCTTATAATGCAAGAATCAAGAAATTTGGTATTAGTTTGGCAAAGCCTATAATGCAAAATCAAATTTCAATTGTGTATTAGTTTTCTATTGCAGCATAACAAATTACAAAAATGATTTGATGGCTTAAAACAATACATATTTAATATCTCATAGATTCTGTTGGTCATCAGTGCAGGCATGACTTGGGTGGGTTCTTGGTATTGGATCTCACAAAGCCGTGATCCAGATGCCTGCCAGCACTAGAGTCTCATCTAAGACTCAGGGTTCCCTTCCAAGTTCACTGGTTATTGGCAGAATTCAGTTTCTTGTGGTTATAGTGCTGAAGTCCTCAGCTCATATAGAGGGCGTGTTGTTTCTTACTATGTGATCCTCTACACAATAAGTCAGTTTAACTCTTAAAAGCCAACAGAATCGATATTTGTTCCTTAAAGCTTCTTACCCTGATACCCTCTTTTAAAAAGCTTACTTGATTACGAAAGGCTCATCTAAGGTAGTCTTTCCTTAATTAACTTAAAGTTGATTTTGATGAGGGACTTTAACGGTATCTGCAAATTCACTTCATTTTTATGAAGCTGATATAAGCTAATAAGTTAATCACAGGAGTGGTTCCATAATGTTCACACCCACATTCAATTATACAGTGTGTACACCAGTGGATGGGAATCTTCGGGGCCATAACTGTATTCTATATACCAAGCACAGGTTCACACGCACTGCTTGTAAGAGAATATTGATTATCATATTTTATTTGTATTATTTGATTCTTAGATGAGCTTCCTGGTTATCTCTCAGTTCCAATTCTGAGTTTTTAATATGTTTGAAGAAAAAAATAAAATTGATATGTCACCTATCCTTTCTAAAGTTTAAGGGAAACTTTTTTTTTTTTTTTTAAGTTTAAGGGAAACTTTTACACTCGTGTTACATTATATAATAATAGAGGCTCCATGCATGAAATTCGTGAACTCAGGAGGGAGTCCTTTCAGTCCGGCCTACACCCTCTAGTAGTCTGGGAGTCCTCAGGGAATATCTGACTGCTAGCTTACTCCCCACAACCGCTGCTATGCTGCCACCAGATCCTGCAGTGAGCATCTGCCCTCTCGTGGTCAGTGCATGTTATAGCGACCAGTTGGTCTAACGTTTGGTTGATTTGCATCTTAACCTTTTATTATATATGGTGTATTGTCTATCCAGAATATATACCTATATATACATTTACACATTGTGTGTGTGTGTGTGTGTGTGTGTGTATGTGTGTGTTTAATGAATGTGTGTATCTCTTAGAATCTTGTGGTCACAAGAAATTTAAAAAACTCGATTTTAATATATTAAAATATTTTAGAAAAGTATAATTGGGCAAGGAATAAAAGACTCTCCAACATAAAAGAAAATGAATTCCATTAGAATAACATTTTAGGGTAAAGTGGAATGGAAAGATGATTGAAGGAGAAAAAGAACTTGATGTACATTTTAATAGGAAACAGGTAGGTATCAAATCCCTGTGGTATTTATAGTCTATGAAATCCATTTAAAAATTATATGAAATTTTTTTGTCTAAAAAATGTCAATATGTGTGCTAGAAATCACATATTTTGTAACTATTTAAACTGACCATAAATAGTAAAGAGGCCAGCTTAAAAACATAAGAGGAAATATGAATGATTTTTCAAAATTCCTTTAGTAACAGGAAAAAAAAAATGAACATTGGAAGACCATTGATCTAAAAGAATTACTATACATTCCAAGTATTTGGCATAGAGAGGGCTGAGTAAGGAGGCAGACGGGTCTGATACACTCTGATTTTAACAGGCCAATTAGAAATAAAGAGAAATGTGAACTAAGGCAGTAAGATGTGAGAATAACAGGGTGAGGGAGGATGTGAACAATACCAAGTAGGTATAATGTCCAGGATAAAAACAAATTGAATGTAGTGGGAGATAATGTAGGGATTGAGAAATGTCTAAAATATATCCTATATCAATGAGTAGATGATGAATAGTTGAGAAAGTTAAAATTTTGAAGAGAAAGATAAGTTTAACTTTGCTTATAATGAAATACAGGTGATGGATGTGTGTGCTCATAGCACATCTAAGTTCAGTTTTCTCTGAAGCTCATACAAAGTCATGAGTAATTACTAGTGGAAGTAAAAGCCTTGGACATAACAGCAATTCCAGGGAATACATGGAGAACACAAAGAGGTTGTCTGTCTCTTTTCTATAGGGTTTATTTAATAAGTATTTACAGAGCAGATCAGATATGCCAAATGCTTTTTAGATTCTCAGGATGTAGAAGTGAACAAAATAGACCAAGACTGCTGATAAAACTGCAATTTTGGAGCGTGAGCACGAACTAGTGCAGTGCAAGCTGACATTGCCTTGACATTAGGATATCCACCTTTCCGAGCCAAGGACTGAATACTGCTCAGTTACTTTCATATGTTAAAAAGCTGAATGAAGCACACATATGTTGTCACTTTGCTCCCAACCTTCTAATCTTACTATCAGTGTATCACTGAAAGTGAAGAATGAGCTTTGCTGGTCACCTGACCAGTGTGAGCCAGGGTGGTCCAGAACAGGCCTTCCCAATCTTCCTTCACACCACTTTCCTCAGAACAGGGTGTCTACCCATCGACAGCAGCCCCACATATACTAGCAATATCATGTTTAACAGATTGCCAGGGATATGAACTTTTAAAGCATTGCAAACATGTAAGATAGAAGGGCCTATATAGTGCCTAAATGAAGTACTGATTTTTCTTATGTTTTTTTTCTTATAATAACTTTATATTTTGATAAACAGTTTGTTCACTCTTTTAAAGAAATAAATAATAATATTTGTTGGCACTAATTGTATTTTTCTGAACTGAACTTGAACAGTTCTCTGGCAATTGAAAAACTGTTGTGGTTGATGTCCTTCAGGAACTCTCATTATTTAAATCAGTTGTTAACAGACTTCTTGCTATCTCTACCACATTTCTCTCCATGCTCTTCATTCTATCCAGAATAGTTTGCTTCTTATACCTCACTATTTTCCATATGGTCATAATAGTTCCTTCACCTCTGCCATCTCCTCTGCCTTGAACAATTTTGTCTTCCTCCACGAGTTTAAAGTTCAACACAGTTATCATTTCTTTATTCAATGTCCTTGAGTTGGTCAAATCCTTTATATTGTATATATTTATATCTTCATCAGCCTCTCTTTCCATGTATTTTTTAGAATCCAGTTTTTATACTTATTTTTGAAAATTTTTAGTTAACAGCACT